GCCACACTAGACAGAGTAAGGGGAAAAAATAGCACACGAAAGAGCACGTGGTGGCACGTGCCAAGCAACTTCTACAAAAGAAACAACTGGGCTTTGGAGGCACATCCTTTGTTTTGCTTCAATTAACACTTACCGTGCTTAACTCTTCGCCAGAGTGCCAAGGCACAGCAGCAATCTGTTTCCAAGGGGGTAGTATGACGACGCGCCCAAATGACTCAACCAAGGGGTGTGTTGCGACGCGCGACTACTGTCGCATGTCTCTAGCTTGCGACAGTGCAAACACGATCTCCACGCGTCTAGGAAAGGATGGCGTCCTGCTGTCGGCAGTCAATCGCAGGATCCCAACCTTCACTCGTCATCTATACGCACAACAGACCTTCCACTCTCATCAATAACGCACAACAGCAGCGCCAACGACGCCCGAACCAACGGCGCAAGAAAAAAAAAATACAACCTCGTTTCGTTGTCTCTCACAATTTTAGCCGAAGAGGCGCCCTGTCATCGACCTTCTCCAGGACCTTGGTCGCGATCTCCATCGAAAGCGCGGGCACCGCCGCCTTCGGGTTATCCGTCTTGAACAAGAGAGAGAAGAGGATGCCGAAGCACCCCTCCACGTCTGCGGTCCGCGATGGAAAGAAGCAGCAGCAGCAGCAGCGGCGGCGGCGGCGGCGGCGGCATCAGTGCCGGCGCCCGGAAACCGTAGCGCGTTGGAAGATGGTCCCCCAAGGTTACCAGCTGGTGTCTGCTACTCGTGTATTCGGCGTCGCTGTCAGTGTTTGCCAACCATCCTACGCTGAGGAAATTCGCATTGATTGCCAATCCAGGTGTCATCGAAGTCCAGGATGGTTCCGATATGTTCACGACATGTTTTGGGGTTCGTTTCGCAAAAAAGCTACAAATCCAACAGAGTCGTTTCTCGTCTGTGCCGATGTCCGATGTCAGCAACAACTTGCAACTCAGAGACAGGGTACCCTCATCGTGCCACAGACAAATACCAACTTACAACCTTCTTTCGCGTTGCACAGCACGCGGGCCCAACCAGTAAGACATTCGAATACGCACTCGGGCACTCGATTAAATAGACGCTTATGTACATCGCGTGTGTACCATTCATCAGCGCAACAAAAGTAACCACACGGGCCCAGTGTACACGGGTGTGCGACCACTCGCGCAAAGACAGAAACATCGAAGCCCATTCGTTTCCGCGCTACTAGGACACAATTCGATTGCCACACGGCCAGCAAGCGCAACTACTTGACGAGTGTGCTTTGGCATTGCTCCCCGTTCCCACCTAATTCACATCACGGAGTGCATTCAACAGATTCGTCGCTCTTCGCTCACCGTCGGTTTTGCTCATCTCCAGGATGACGTTCCTCTGCTCCAAAACCTTCCGGATCAGATCCGGCGCGTTCGCGTTCGTTATCAACGCCGTGCAAGCCTTGGAGAACTGTGCCTGTTCGTGTCAAGGGGTCAGAGTAGAGGGAGCTTTCAAGCTAGTGCCGATGAACACCCACAAAGCACTAAAACAATTTGCTAGTGAAAAACGCGCAGTCGTGAGTGCACACAACAATTGGCTGGGTCGCACAACCGTGGTTGAGTTCAGTTGGAAAGTTTTGTAAGTTCCGGCTCTACACATGTTGTGGGTTCGAATCTCGCCGCAGTGAACAAATCCTAACGCGGCATTGAAAAGCACAAAGTCGTGGGTAAACACAACAAAGAGGGGCGGGAATTCCTCTCGCGGCAAGCCAAGCCATGAGGGCAAGCATCGCAGGAGGAATTCCTCCCGTGTGACCCCGGCCGATGCATTACAACGCGTACCATGTTTCGAAAGGGGGTGTCAGCAGGCGCCCGTAATAAATGGGACGAAAAAAACAGGGAAGTGAGGTCTGCAACGAATTGACTGAAAGGCAGGCATGGCACAACAACGTCGTGACGGCAAGAACTGTCCGCCGCGTCGGCCTTGGTCGGCCTTTGTCGCTGCCTTTGGCAGAAGACGAGCTGTGCGCAAAGAAATCGGGAAACTGCCGACCGTCGAATCGAAACCGTGTGCATACATGACGATTGTATCATTTGGCGATGATACATGCTGTATTCGCATGATGCCCTAATGCAACAACCGATGGATGCACTACACTTGGACATTTGCAATCCTGTGCACAAGAAATGACAACCAAGCGGAGAGCTCGATCCTCCTACAGCAGTACGCCCCTGATGGCGCTTCAATACTCGTAAATGTCGGAGAGGTGGCACCCGCGTGTTGAGAGTAATAAAGGAATAATAAAAACACACACAGAAAGACTACCCATTCGAGATATACCCACAGCAGTCGAACGAGAGTACGAAGTAGCGTATTTCTCCACAACAGCGGGGTGCGACGGCCGAAAAGGGTAGTTTTGGAAACATCTCGTCGAGGGCTTTCCTGGGAGGTATCGGTTGGTGTTCGAACCCTCCTAGTTGTTGTGGAGAAATAAGCTAGAGAAAAAAAGGTAACACGGGGGTGCGCCATCTCTCCAACTCGGTAAGTTTCCATTCCTCCCAAACGAGTAGCTGATGCCACAAAGCAGCAATTGCGAATTACCCCCAAGTGTGTTGTATGTCGGGGTACTTTACGTACACAAGATACCACCTCCTACTGCAATCATACCCCGACGACCCATCCGTGCGGTAAACGTGCCCAAAACTGACGAGTCAAAGACTGCACCTGGCCTGAAGGCATCGCCTTGGCCACGGCCTCCACCAGCTTGAGCTCCGCCTTCGCCGAGAGGTTCACCAGCTGCGCCGACACAGCCATCGCCATATTCGCGCTCCTCCAGCTAGCGGTTCAAAAACAGAGGATGGCCTGTACCCGCGAAACCATACGATGGGAACATGGAGGAGAGCTCTGAGTTTCTTCTTTGCGCGCTGATTCAAGTACACACCAGTGATGCACCTTGGAACGAATTCAACATGATGGCGGGACATGGCCCCAGCGAGCGAGGCATCAGCGGTGGCGTTGCAATGCGTTTGTTTGCCTTCATCGAGGGCACGCTCGATGGTGTGCGTTGTACGAAGCATACTTGTCTCTTCAATCCTTCACACGATTTCGGCCTGTGTAGAGAGCCGAACCTGCACTTACGGCAAACGCCCCCTGTGCAATACTGCTGTGGGCATGGATGGAAACGTAGCGGCAACAGCTCAGGATGCAATCAAGGGCGGGCAGGCTTGCTGTCCACCGCACAGGTTAAAAAAACGTGAGCTCACACAATCGCACGGATCATCAAAACGCGGCATTCCCTGGTAGTTATTTCATCGACGCAAGCGAGGGTTTCTAGCTGTACGGGAATCACAAGAAACATGGCGTACCGGGGGGGGTTGAGCTCGGGTTGCGAAGGAGCTTAGCAGCCGAACTGCACAGCGGACAGCACGCGGAAAGGGAGAGCTGAGGCTGAGAGGGGTTTCAGAAGGTTCCCGAGGCTGTTTAGGCTGTTTATTCACAGAAGAAGCGGACGAAAAACAAGATTAAATTCTCCGTACCGCAGTCCGCAGTCAGCTCACATGCAGCATCTCCGTCCGATTGCTCTCGTCTCTAGTCTCTCTCTCGTCGGCGAGAGAGGGGTGGCGGGAGAGGTGTTGTGGGATCCTCCATTGACCTTCAATTTTTTTGTGGGGTGGAACTCTGTGCGGCAAATAAACGAGGTCGCCGGACTAGCATATAGTTTCGCAAGATACCGTTGACATAAGATAGCACACCCCCTGGACTGATTTTCAAAGCTCGATTTACTCCACAGCAGAAAAGAGTGAAAGAGTGGTGAAACGAAAATGACAGCAGAAGAATGAGCTCGTCTAGAGCTTTCCGAAATACGTTTGATGTGCACAATATCCTCTTCGTCCTGGAGTATTTATTGAAAATAGGTCCAAGCAAGCCGAAGAGTGCGATACCTAAGGTCACCTCCTCCATGATGCACCACCACGTCCCGTTCGAATGTGAGTATATCTCGAACGGGTAGTCTTTCTGAGTGTATTTATTTTTCCTCATGTATCATACGTCAAGGTAGCATGCACGTGCGCTAAGTACGGTAACATTTATTCCATCTCGCGATGGTTTGAGGAGGGCTAGGGTATACTTTTGGGTATACTGTAGTACCTGAATCAGAGACGGGACGCCCTCTATGGGGTCTCGTCCCTCTCGTGTTTACTCAATACGGCCAATCAATTCGGAAGGAAGAGACTTTGACCACACTAAGAGAGCTAACAACCTGTGAGTCGATGTACGGTTAGACCCACCTTGATTAGTCCCCCCTTGACTCCAACCGTAGAAGATCATGAAACTGACCATGACATGAACGCAACTAATTGGACCCTAGCCAGTCGCTGTTACGCTCAAAGTAGGACGAAACCATCTGAATCGATAGCTTCTGTGACACATAGGTGTATGTGGACGACCGCAAAGAAAGGTTCCCTCTACCAGCCATGAAGTACATGGGTCAACAGGATAATGATGAAGAAATAAAACGAACCTGAGCTTCAAATACATACTTGGTCAAGCGAAACGACTGGCACAACGTTTTGGCATATCATCGTTTTCGGGAAAAATCTGGCAGAAGAGATTGTCGACAGAGAGAAATGATAGACTGGCGTGTGGCCACGCTCGTACATGAGAGCCTTGTGAAGCCCCAGTCTCACTAAAAAAATTCCGAATCCGAAGTTACGAAGTTACACGTATTTCGGCGAATCCAGCGTGTATGCGCGTGCGGGAGGACACGCGTAACAGCTACACTATTGTTGCCCACTGCATCGACGCAGCAGGCAACAAATGGCAGACTCGCTTGGCATTTGGGTGAAGATGGTAGCCCGTAGTCCATATGTCCACCATCCACCAGCCTCTGTCAAGAGTTCCCTCCTCTTGCGTGGAACGTTCACACACGGAACATGCCCAACACGACCAAAAGGAGAAGGTCTCCTATTTGATGTTGAGCCACAGAAGCACAAAAAGACGTGATCGAATAACCACTTACAACCAATCGTGAACACCGGCTGCCTCCGAGGGGCCACAGCGTTAAAATAGCATTGAAAAGCATTGAAACAGAGCAGGGCAAAAAGAGACAAAACAACATGAGGAGAGTGCCGGCGGCTTAGGGCACCCTCGTCTTAAAATTGTTCGGCTGCCATTTCAATCGACGGCGTGTGCTGAAGCAAAACGGCCTACACCACGGTTAAGTGTGGGTGAACCTTCCACAGGTCGAGACCCCCACGGACCTTCCTGTTTTAGCAGAGGGGGGGGGGGGGCAATGTGTAGAACGAGTAAACAAAGACAACGCGAGAATACTACAAGTGTGACCAATAGGGAAAAACACTAGTCCCCTGTACTCCCGCCTCACCATAATTACGTGCCCCTAAACCGATCGGAGAGGCCGTGCAAAGGTCCCCCCCCCCCCCCCCTTGATAAAAGAACGGAACCTCCAGTTCGCTCCAACCCATCGTCACTACTTACGCCTCCTCAAAGGCTTTTGTAGCTTATTCCCGCTGGGCGATCACGCTCAGGAAGCAGTTGTAAAAGATCTGGATAGTGTTGATGTACAGCAGCCGCTGCGAGGTGGGGATCATGCGGAAGTTGATGGCGTGCGCCACGGGCCACACCGTCCACGATCCCTTCACCTGTGGCCGAATACAAAAACGACACCAGCAAGGTCGGGAAGACACATGCGCTTCACGTCAGAAAAATTAAAGCGTTTCTCATTTGTTGCCCTCTTACATCTGTTGGTTTCGACTCAGCATATGAGCATGAACGATGGGCTGCACAGTAGGAGCATTTCGTCCAGGAAGGGCAATATTTGGCGATAACTACTTGTTGTATGGGCTTGCCTGGGATCTCGTAAATCCGAATTCTTACGTCAGAAACAGTGAGGAAGAGGAGAAGTCGGAAGTGTAGAGGTCAGAATAATTGTAAATGTACAACGCAAGTCCTTTAGCATGTAAAAATTGTCACGTGAGATGTTGAGCACACGTTTACAACCGGTTGCGTCAAGCGTCTTGGCTGCGCATCATTCCTACAAAGCCAACTCTGTTCTGTCGTGTGAACTATTGTAAGCGGGGGATGCCCGCGTGCTATCGAGGTTCTATTCGCTACTAGAGTAGCACAGATGACCCTCCTATGACTTTATCGTTCAACATGTATAAGAAAAAGGCACATTGATGGGCGGAAGTTTTGAATGTGTCTTCGTCGTATGTGCTATTGGGGCTGATGTGGTACGTTGTCCGCGGGGATACAAAAAACACGCAACCTTAAGCTGCCGAAACATGAGACCGGCTAGGGGGCGTGGTCGCGTACGTTCACCGAATAGACTTTTCAACCGAAAACATTCCCACTCACTGGAATGGCATGGAGGGGCCCTCTCGGCTAGCGTCAAGCGTGTCTGATGGTCTCAACAGCACCAAAAGCGATATGGAAACCAAGCCTATCGTGTCAAACTCACCGACGTCCACAGGTTGTTCTTGATCTTTTCCGAGATACCGCTGGGGCCCATGCCATCTACGGCACCCATGTAACCGAAGAACATGCATCCAAAGATGGGGTTCCACAGCACCTGCCAGGATTCGAGTAGAGAAGACGAAAACACACACAGAGTATGGAGCTTGTCGACGATAACATAAAACCTATACATCATACAACGTGCATCCCGTACCCTGCGAGATCTCTCGATAACCTCTCGGTTGTCACCATGACGAAACACACGAGTCACAAAATACGAGATCCTCCTCCCACACCGAGCTGTTGCGTGGAAGCGTTGCAAACAGTAGCACCACGGGATGCGGGACTTACCTGGTCAATGAACACTTTCTTCGCGACGGTCAAGGCCGCCGTGCCAGGGATCTTGGAGTCCAGGAAGTTGTAGAAGAAGTGACCGCTCGATCCGTGAATCAAGGCCCCGAACGACGCCAACTTGAGGAGGCGGGGTAGGTCAATCTCCTCCTAGAGAAACGACAGCCGGACGGCGAAGCTTAGGTAAAACGAACGAACAAGCCTCCTGTCCAGCTCATGTATACCAAGCACCAGTGTGAGGGAGGAACCTGTGTGGCACCATTGCTATTCTTATTTTTTTTTCTAATAGAACACCGCGAATACATCTCTATCCACGGACAAGAGTCCAGGATTACTTAGCGATGAATTCGCTGTGTTAGCCGAGCACTACCAGTGTTTCTACGGTTTCCCGAGCAGCGCACAGCGATTCTCCCCTGTGGGCAACAGGCTCTACAAGAACGTTTGGTGGCCATCTTGTGCATCTGACTGAACATTATAGCTGGGAAAGTGTACAAACAAGATGTTGGGGCGGGTTGGGGTGTTGACTGTGCAAACAACCCTGACCTAAAATCTCGTAGTAACCTGCTCTCCCGAACGCCGGCGTCAGTTACACAGCAACTCAGATAGTGGCCCAGAACATTCCTTATACCACTAGCCGTCATCGCTGGGAGCGAGGTCCGAAACTTGCCCCGGGGAATTTTCTCGTGTGTCCGTAAATTACATCCGCTTGCAAGTAGCTTTACTGCATGGGAGACAGGATTCGCCGTGGTTAAGAGGAATTTGTGCCGGCGCTGAAGTTGTGCCTGAAGCCCTCTTGTCTCTTTTTCATTGTCGGAGCAAGGACAGCGATTTTTGTTCTCGGCGTTGCAGTCGCCCAACCACCGCTCCACCATGCGCAAGCTATTGCTATTTACTTTAGAAAAACTATTGTACTGCACTTGCGAGTTCGCCCCCATCCGTCCAACTTGCTGTAACCTGCGCAACTACTACTACTGCTGTACACTAAATTATTGAGGTGCCGTGCGTTGCGCTGCCGAGGGCTGTGGCAACGTCGCCGCGTACTGCTGCACTTTCCCTGCCCCACACGTACGTGCGGCGCATCAGTCCCACTATTGTGATGGAGTGGCGTGACGTGCCAACACTACAGCAGTAGTCAACACGGCACTACTTGGTACGGTGCTCGGGAGCGGTGCGTGCTTTGACGCAATTCAGTATGACGCTCATCAAGGCACGCAGGGAGGTGTGACCAAAGGTACTCGTGTACTGCCGTAGTCTAGATTTGGTGCCGCCAGATCGCGGTGGTGCTAAACATCAGTAAATACCAGGGATGTTCGCGGTGCGGTTTTTTCCACGGTGCGGTTATCGAAACGCACACCTCGCGGAACGGCAATATTTCGGGACTCAAGGGGTAGGGCAGTTTTGGCGACATGCCCGCACTGTGGGCACTTGTTGCATTGCACCAGAGGACAAATCCTGTCCGAACGCATGATATCAGCACCCCATTTTGTATCCTCTGGTGCAATGCAACAAGTGCCAACAGTACGGACATGTCGCCAGAAACTGCCCTACCCCTTGAGTCCCGAAATGCTGGGGTTCCGCATGGTGTGCGTTTCGATAACCACACCGCACCGTCGAAAAAAACAACAAAGTCGCACCACGAGACTAAGTATATTTCCAGAAGAGAGCGAAGACCTCCACGACTATTTTAACTCCTGGTACAGACAAACGATAGCAGTAGACATGGTAAAACGCACCACTGCTGGAACATAGACACCGTAACGGTCCTTTGAAGCGACCGGATCAACTCATATGCTGCCGCAAGTAGCACGTGCAAAAAGTGGCAGTGGCGATGTACTGCTGTATGGAGCGACGACGTCTTGTGTCTACTTGTACCATATATCGCCACTGACTATATTGTAATATTGAACCAGCAGCTTGCAGCAGCTTGCCTGAAGCAGCAGCAACAGCAGCAGACTGCAGACCGCTGCCAGAACCGAATGTGTACTTCACCGAAACATCCGGACAATTCTTCATCGTCGGTTGCAGCAGCAGTACTGTCGTCGTACAGCTATCAGCCAGCCTGCCGGAGATGGACCGAAAATTGCTTGTCTGCTGCTGCCACAATACCTTTCATTGGACAAGTTGTCCTCAAGTAGTCGAAAACAGACTAAAACCAGCCCACCTTCTTGTCAATGAACTTTTGAGCGAGCAGGTCCCCGAGCGCGAAGCCGGTCATGGAGGTGAGCGACTTGGTGAGGAGCGGCTGCGACGCCAGCAGGCTCATGTATGCCGCCCAAATGACACCAAGGCCCTTGGCCTTCTTCTCTCCATCTCCCTCGGCAGACGAAGATGCGCCGAGCGGAGGCACCTTGCCGTTCCCGCCGCCCCCATTTACACCCCCGCCGTTTGAGTTACTTTTTCATGGCGGGCAGAAAAAAATGGCAGGGAGGATCGACGCCGACAGGGCAGAGACACAAATGGGTTGAGTCGTGGGCGGTGTGGAGGAAAGCTAAGCGCTCGTTGGGTGCATGAACAGCGTCGGTTTGGAGACGCGAAAGATTGAGGATTCGAAACCAAAATCCCACACATCCCACATCTCTCCGTGACTATTTTGCTATTATGTAGAGAGAGAAGGGGCGTTGGGGACAGAGCTTCTCATTTGCTGCGAGTATTTTCTGTGCTGAAAAACGTTGACGCTGCACAACTCTCAGACAGTGCGTGAACCAGCTAGAAACACCTTGGGAAGGGGTGTTAGAGAGCTGGTACGCTGCCGAGGCGCGACGGCCGGCGAGAGCACCGCACGTCGGCTGCAACACGCTGCTGTCCAAAATGGGAGTTCGGAACCGCTGTGCCTCATACGCGTACAAGGCAGATTGAAGTCGCTTTAGCGTCGGATTTCTCGCTCACCCCTTCCTGCTGCCCCCTCGGAAGATGTTGGTGATCTTCGACGACACGCTCTGAGGGAGTCCACCCTTTTTGGAGCCCCCACCTCCCAGGCTCATCATGACGTCGCCGCCGCGCGACGCGAGTATCGCTGGCGCCGCGGCGTCAACGACGGAGCGTTTGGAAACGAACGTGCTGCTGCTGGCAGGCACCGCCGCGGGCACGAAAGCGTCTGTGCTCGCGCAAAGCGCTCCCGCACCGACAAGAGCAGTGGTGAACTTCATGGCTTATGTATTTTGTGTGATGTTTCTAGAGATGGTCTCCTAGAGGTGTACGTGAAGCAGGTATGTAGTGTGGGGAACGGAATACGGAACACGTTGCAGGTTGATTTTGGAGATTTGGAGTTCAGGGGGAGACGGGGAAGATAATAGGCTAGTAGGGCGGGGCGGGGTCCCCGCGGTTCTCTCTCTCTATGACACACCACCTGCACCGGGGGTATCCTGATTCAAATCCATGTCTCGTCTCTTTCTCTCCTGGGTGGGCCGTCGTGCTTCCGACCACACGATTGTACGCGCGGTACGCGCATAACTGCTACATTACTGCGGGTGTGCAGCTGAGGTACTGACACAGCAGTTGCGCGCGAACGGGTTGGTTTACTACCCTGTACGGGTTTTGTTCGGGACTTCAGAGCCTCTCGGTCTCTCGGTAGTACAACAGAAACACAACATGCACGGAGTATGTCGACTACATACACTGATGAACACACATTGCTGTATAGTACTGACTGCGTGCGGTGTAGCCCAAAGAATGCAAGTGTCTTCCGGACAGACATAGATACATACATCCGTCGAGTACCGATTTTAGTGAGTATAACTGCCTGTCTGTTTGCATGTACATACAGTATAGCAGTAGCATTTGTATCTTATACGTACATATACAATAAACCAGTATATAGCGATTGCACAACATAGCAGCAGTAATGCTGTACTGCTGTAGTGCGGGCCCGCTCGTAAGAAACACCTGTTTGAGGAAGGCTCAAAGCCTTACAGATGTATTTCAACGATTGGAATGTATGTGTAGTTAATGCGCGGAAGAAAAATGAGTACTTCTTCGAAGTGTCAGAGGTTCATCAATCAGCGTCGAGCAAGATCAATTATACGAGACGCTTTCTTGTTTCGGACCAAGGGTACGGCATTTGCCTTGTTTCCCTCTATTCATATTGTTCCAGCCGAAGGATTTCGTCTTGGTTTTTATAAGGATGGGTGCCGGCTCCTTCGAGTATTAACTGAGCGCGCATGCATGCATGCCCCTAAATCCAGCCTAGCTGACCTCAGAAGACAACAAGCTTGTAGGTAACCAATACAGAAGGCAACTATCTCTAGACTCCGGGAGACCATGTAGCAGTTGACGGGAAGCGCCGTTCGAGACTGGAGTGTGGCCTAAGAAATCGCCGCCTTCGAAAACGTGACCTAAGCATTTTGGCCCACAAGGAATCGTGGCCTGAGAGAACGTGACCCCAAGAACTCGTGGCCGAAGAAATCGCGTCCATAGAAATCCTGTCCCGAGATTGTGGCCTACGATAGCGTGGCCCCAAGAGGAATCCCCGCCCAGTAAATCGTGGCCAACGAAAGTTTGGGTCTAACTATTTTCTACTCCATGCTACAGAGTCGTGTTTGGTGTTTTCCTCGATCGGCGAATCCTTGCGGTCTTGCCATAACATCACCACCTCTGACCCAAGCACAAACCCTCGTACTCACTCGGCCACCCACTGGAGGAGAACAACACACAAGCTTAGGCACACCACACCACCGACGTGAACCGATTGGGAGCAGGGGAATGTGCTTCGTTCAATAGCACTGGGCTCGGCCGACAAGCAGTCTTCGTGTCGCTTATCCCCCCTTCGTCCAGCCGCCTAGACTGCCCAACGGATGGATTTTGATATCTTGTTCCGAGCCCGTCCAGCTCAGATTCAGAAGGTGTACCGCGTTGCTGTCCACCCATCTTCTTGCTTGTTATCTACGCGCAGACCAGTTCTAGGCAAGGGGGCGGGGGCAGTTCATCATGTAGGCCACATACCTCTACATTTCAAGTCCTTACGGTCAGCTTCTGTTGCAGGCTACAGAGAAAATTAACGCTGCAACGTACAAATGTACGAAACGCGATCCACGGGATAGATGCCGCTTTAAACCCTGGCACCATTCTAGCTGCACCCAACCTACGGCCACCCCGTCGCCGCAGGCCTCCGCACTCACTCTCCACCACTACCTGAAGGACCCCCAACCACTTGTATCGCCAAGCTCTGCATCAGGCAAGGGGCCTGATGTGGACATCTACAAATGCCGGCTATAAACCTGCGAGGATACTTTGCGTCCATTTACGGCACCGGCACTTCTTAACTCTTGTCGGTACTCTCGCCTCACACAACCTACAACAACGCCGTCGTGGCGATGCCTCCGCACGCACCCTCAGCCTATATCTGAAGGCCACCGACCTGCTCCATCACCAAGCGCTGCAACCCGCTCACGACACCGCTAGCAAACACCAACGCAAATGTCCTCACTACCGCGGGTCTCACTAACCGACGTAAAAGCCAAACTTTCTACAGGCAGGCAACCTCTTGTTCGCGCACATCATGCTATCTACATATCTATATCTTGCCAGTTCTCACATTTTGCTGTGTTGCAGGACTCACATTGTCACCCGTGGCAAGGGTGCCTTGCACGCGTCAAGTTGAGATTTTGGTTACCGTACATACTCCCGACTAGGGTTGAAAGAAAAGCTCACAAAAACCCTGTTTCGCCAGAAAGAATTCAACAGCCGAGGACATCGCCGCTGTACCCAGCCCTTGTCCGAACAACCCGACTGCGAACCTTGGGGCAAACATGGACTGGCGGAAACCGCGCTGCTTTGGCAAAAAAGGAGCAGCACAATGGCGATCCATCATCATATTATGCCCTGGCAAGCACGTAAACATTGCCGGTGTCTCTCTCCAACGAGCGTGCCGTCAATACACGCATGTCATCATCGAGGTACGATAGCGTCCATAATCCCGCTTGGTCGAGCTCGTTCTTCACCAGCTGCTGCCCAAAAAGTAAAAACGCGATGCTCTTGAAAACAACCTGAAATGTGGTGTCCAATCAGCGTCCAAAGGCGAAAGGAGTGTGAACGATGAACCCCACCGGTGCGGAGACAAATTGATCGTGACGGCGGGCGGTAACGAGCAAAACCCTTCCCGACACATCGGGTAAAACAAGCACGTCGCATAATTTTTGCAGCATTTCACTGTTGACCTCCAACACCTCTTGATGGTGGATTAGCAGATTGGCATATTGTCAGCTACAAGTCGATGCATCCACAGCAGTGATACCCGGTACGTGGTATGCTCGAAGTCGCCCATACTATATTGTACGTTTGCCATAGCAGTCTCGGTTTCCAAACTGGCATCGCCTGCTCACCTTCCATTGGCTCTTGTTGACAACGTCCCACGTCGCTTCCAGCCTACCCGTCAGGGGTCCGAGCCGAACGTAGTTTACATACAAGCCCTCAGCGATGTCGACTTCCTGCTGCACCTCTCCAATGAAAGGCCCAAGCTTACCACCAGACGCTCCCGGCGTGGTGGTGTAGATTAGATCCCATGTTCCTGTGGGGTAAGGCGCAAGAGGGCACTGAAGCACTGAGAAGAGACCATCGACGCACTCAAGGAAACTTGGAAGGCAAGCTCCCCACGTGATACAACTCTAATATGAAATCGAAGCAAGGCTAACACACCCGTGGCTAGCTCCGATGTGGTGATGTCCTTGGTCGGGTTTGCAGCCGCCAGACCGTTGATTGCTTTGGATATTGCATCCCGTTGCTGCGGTGTCGCTTTCAGTCCATTCGACGTCCCCGCAGCCTCTTCAAGGATCGTCTGCTTCAGGGCTCGAACCTGCTGGCGCAACGGAATAGTAGTACAAACCCCGCAGTATAACACAATCAAAAGTAAGTTCCACAGGGTGGGCGTTCACTTGACCTTGAAACTCAAAAGCAGTAGACTACATACACACAGGATAGTTGACACACAGGAGAGTTGACATGTACGTATGCATACGCTACATGAGAGATTGTTCCCAAAACGGGCTGTTCGTGTGCTCTCTTCTACACGGCCACCTCGCGATGATATCTCCCATGAGAAATGGGACACCATCGGCTATGTACATCCCCGGTGCCCCAGCCGCGAGGCACAAAGATATCTCCAAGGAAGGTTTACACACACTCACCTCCTCGACTGCAACCTCGTCGGCATGTTTCGCTTTCAACCGGGGCAAAACTTGGTCACGTTTTTCTGCAACCGGCAATCTCCATGGGACTTTCCCTGTAAAGGCCGTAGAGATCGGAATAAATGCTGCCAGGAGAAGGCACAGGGGAAAACGGGCGTGTCTTGTCGAAATCATCCGCGCCTAGACAGCAAGCGTGCTCCCGTGTGGAGCTCTCTGCTCTGCTCTAGCATACATCTCTCTACATCTCGTCATGTTTCATGAGCTCTGCACGGAGCCCCCTCCGTAGGTACCCGCTGCCAAGAGGCACCGTGCAGAATATATTTGCCGTTCAATTTTCATGCGCGTGCAGACTCACCCCTTTGGTGGCCGCTATTACCATCATTTCGTCTACCTTTCGCCGTTTCGCAGGCTCGCCCTGCCACACCATACGTAAGCGGTAGTCAGGTTTTGTACCGGGTACAACGCGCGGACTTTGTACGCCGGTGAGATACGCAAACTCGTAGTCTGTTTACTGTTTACACATCATCCATCGTGTCACTGGGTTACCGCCGAGACTGTCAGCGGCACTGTCAGACTTTAAGCGGTCAACGCACGCAACCCCTTATGTAGGACTACAGCCAGAAGTCTAGCTAGTCTACGCTGACCGTTTTACCGAGAACCTCCCTCTGGGCGACGTCACGTTTGCGCATAATAGGTGTCACATTTTTGCGGCGCTGTTGCAAAAGTGCAGATTTGATCAAGTGAAGTGATACTGAATACGCGACAGAAATAGAGCGAGGCCAAACGAGAGAATTTGTGGGAAGCCCTTGGCAAATAGTGTGTTTTCAACACCGCAAAGAGGGGCGTCGAACCTATGTGTGTGTCCTGCCGAACACCACAACAACTACTTCGAAGTACTGCTGTAGTTACTGAGTATTGTGGTGGCAGACCGACGTATGTAGTTCGAGGTGTAATAAAAAAAGGCGGTATTTATGTACTATTGCTATAGTATTCGTATGGATGTTCGCGTCAGTTGTTTTGAAGATCACGAACAGTTTGGAACACTGGCTACCCCCCCGGCGAACAGGGTCTATCTCTTCGCAACAATTGGTGGTGGTGCTGTGGTTGCTAGCAGGAAAATAGGGAGGTCAATGGCAGGCGAATTATGCTCCATCATGTGCTTGATTGGGAGCATGAAGTGCACACAGCTTGCAACAGCAGTGGTTGGTTGCGGTAGTTGACATGTTTATTCATTTGCGAGGAATCGAGAGGCCAAACGTACCAAGACACAGATTCGGCGTCATGGCATGTTCATTAGAGCAGGAGAGAAAGCACGAGAGAAGTGTAAATATGTTAAAAATGGCATCTTTTGGGCGGAGTCGTTCTCATCATTTGACTCTCACAGGAATACATCACCTGGAGATGAAAGCCTGACTCAAAAGTTGACGAACAAACTGTCAAATGTCGTCCTTCGTTTGTTCGCCACTCCCCGCGCTCGATGTTGTTTGACAAACTCCAGATCACCGGAGATTTTCATCAAACTACTCAATGAACCCACTCGCCACCCCCCCTTATCCTGCCCGTCCAGGAACGCGATGATCCCAACGATATCTCCACAGGTCCGGGTAGGAACCTCGAGAGCATCGCTGAGCTTCGCTGGAGGAGCTGTTCAAAATGGTCCCGGACACGCCAACAACATGATCCTCACAAGCTTCGACGATCGCACCACGAGGACTATGCCCTCCTGGATGACGTCCGCACCAAAAATATTCCCCAGAAGCAAGCGGCATCAGTTGACGAAAACAAAAATACCTTCAACTGGTCTGGACGGGCCCGGGCTGCATTACTCAAGCAAGACCGCGGTATCAATGGCGGGGAACGACGGGCTGCTGGTGCGCGGAGGAGGAGGAGTAGGAGGAGGTGTCGCCTCCCCGGCGCCACTCTGTGCCGTCCTGTTCCTTACCGCTTGCTTCTCCGCAGTGGTAGAGCAGCGGACCAAGGCTGGGTCATTGGTGGGAGCCCCACTGCTCTCTTTCGGGATTTTTTGCATTCTCAGGTTAGTTCAACTTCATCTTCGTTTTGCAATAGCATTGCTTATGATCCCAAGTTATTGAGTGCATGTACGGAAGAACCAAGCACTCTGTCCTCATCGTGATGCGCTAAATACCACGCCGTAGACACCAGTGCGCAAGATCCGTTGCAAATTCATGCTGACGTGACTCTCCCCAACCGCAAGGAGTAGCCGAATAACCCGCTTGCCCCACCTACCTTTCCGTTCGCGGCAGCAATCTCAACCTGGTGCCAGCAACGCACTCGGTGTACGATCTGTGCTGGTCCTTCCTCCTGCCGCTGTCACTCTCCACAATAATTCTTGGAATACGCGTGGTCGCCGTGGGAGAAGAACGACGTTCCGACTTGAATCTCCTTGGAGAATCAAGCGGAGAACGCTCGTCTTCGCAAGGGTTGGCTGGACCGATGGGTCGCGTGGGACTGTCTTTCCTGATTGGAGCCGTTGGGTCCATCGCAGGCGTGGCAGCATCTTTCCGCGTAGCAACCACGAGCGGGGGTTGGGCTTTCTCACTACCACGTGGCACTGCAGCTCAGCTGGCTGGAGTGATCACCGCCTCGTATATCGGGGGAAGCGTGAACCTTTTCGCGGTTGCGTCTTTCGTGGGAATGGTCGGGGTCAAGCTTGCCGGGGGCTCCTCCCTCCTAGGGGCTCTGGCGGCAGCAGACATATTTTTGATGAGTGTGTACTTTTCGTTTCTCGTGGCGGCGCACAAAGCTCCGTTTTTGTGCCGTCTTTTCCCTGGGCCAGGAGCCCAGCCAAGTGCGGTGTTGAAGCAACCGGACGGGATTGGTGGAGCAAACCAACCCAATGTTGTTGCTGCTAAACCGGGGTGGCGCGAGCTGTTTGGATCAACTGCCGCGAACATCACTACCCTTCTCACAATAGGTAGTGCCATCTGCTTCTTCGGCAACGCGGTGGCTCGCAGGTCACCCTTGCCCGGGACTTCGACGATGGCCGTAACTCTGCTGACTGTGGGCGCTACGCGGGTTTTAAATCGTGTAGCCCCGGGCTTTCAGGCACGTCTTTCGCGCACGGCCCCGTTCGTCGCCACGCTACTGTTGAATGTATTTTTTTGTTCGGTGGGCGCATCCGGAAGGTGGGTGGAGGTCGTAGGCGTTGCACCTGCGATTTTCATTTTCGCGGCTCTGGCGTTAGCGGTGCACATTGCCGTCATGGCCGCAGGGGCGGCTGTGTTGAATCGCTTCTTCGGAGCGGGCCTTAGTCTCGATGACATCACTGTTGCAAGCAACGCGAACATTGGAGGCCCAAGCACGGCGGCTACGTTCGCTGGACTTCTCGGCAAGGATGACCTAGTTGTGCCTGCGGCGGTTTGGGGCACGGTTGGCTACGCGATTGCAACCACGCTCGGAGTCGGTGTTTGGACAATCCTACGATGAGACACACGTTAATGAAAGATCAGACGTCGTTGGAAGTTTGGTTCCAGAGAGGGTGCGACTCAATGTCGCATCCGAAGGTGAAGATACACACTGCGAGTTGTTTCGTTTCGCCATCCAAGTGTCTTCAGCACACATCGCATGAATGTCAATGTGTGGAAGGCTGGAACTGCGAAGTGCTCGCGACCTTCCTCGCGGGAAGGCAGAGGGGACTTTTCGATTTCAGAAACAAACAGGAAGCCACGCTGCCCTTCAAGTTGGTGTCACCGGCTCTTTCACCGAAACGGGCTTGGCCTACAATACTCCGCTTGGCGATATTCGAGGGTGCGCGCAAACTCTCTTACAGCCGCCATTCTATACGCTTGCAGGATTTCGCCAAAAAAAGTCACAGGCAGCCTCTGCGCCTCAATATTAACTAAATAGACGTGCGGACCTCACACAATCTCCAGAGCAACCCTTTGGAAAATTGCACGCCGTACGCATGTTCGCGTAGTTGCCCACTTCTAATAAACGTCGTCAAGGTGAAGCATATGCAACGTGAGCCCCACTGGCGGCTTGAGCAGCAACGACGACTCCACCTGCGATTTTGAAGCACGAGTACCCACAAGCACACGGACGGGCAAGCGGCTATCATGAAGTCGGGCTTTATCTAGAGCAGGCCTTGCATCTTGCGCTTGCTACTACCCCAGCGAGGTGTGCAAAGGGGACGTGGGAAGGTTAACCAGGTCATATCATACCCACCAACACACCAACGCACGTCGGCATCGTATCACAACCAGATACAGGTGGAGCAATAGCACAGACCCACATACGCTAACCCTTCACGTAACCCCGCCAGGCACAACGTCGTCTCTAGGGCTACACTGCTCTGCGGCCTCACACACGTACGCACAACGCACATGTGTTTCTAAATCAACATCGACAAAGCTAGTCGAATGGCGAATGAATAGGTGACCGTAGTAGGTTATATACAAGACAAAACATGCTGCGTGTGTCCCTGTCTCGCGGCGGGTGTTGGTAACAGAAGCTTCAGATCTCACCACACGTTCGCGCCTAACTTGTTTTCCTCGAAAAAAAAGCAGGCAATTATTCACGGCGCGACATTCTAGCGAGAGCTGCAAACATGTATCGTCGAACAACACTCGCATCAGAAGAAACCAAGGAGAGGGTTCATGGGTCGTCCCGAAGATATAAGCACACATTGAAGACGCAATGACGCGCAGATTTTACAATAGGTGAGAACTAACCTTCTCTGCCTGCCGCGCTACGACTTCCCCCTCCGCCTCCCGCTTCTCCCACTGCAACAATAGCTCCGAATAGCCTCGTAGAGTTGCCGCCTTCGTGTGCGGGTGAAGAGGCGATGCAAACAATAACGGGAGCGCCACTGTGCCAGCCGACCGCTGACGTCTGGCGATACCATCGTCGACCTCTTCCGCGATACCCTGCAGACTATCCAACGCGGCGCGGAACAGGCCTTCAGCTGTCACAGCCTCGCCGGCCGCCACGTGACACCGCGCCAACAAGGAGAGCGTCCACGCCTGAGGGAAACATGAACGTCGTCGACAGTTGGTAGCAGCAGATGCTACCTCACTGCCGGGCGGGACAAAAATACATATATATCTACTCCGTGCACACTTGTTGCCATAGGTTACGTGCTGAAGCTACAGACGATGCAGGGGGACTGGGAAAATTCTGTACTTCAAACGAAGTCACTTGACTCTGGTGACGCTACCGGGGACGGTAGGTAGACCAACCCGATGGACGAAGAGATATGACAAGTTGTTTCTTTTTCCTTACCGTTGCCGGATGGCCAATGGGAAGCAGCTGTTCTCTGATCTTAAGCGCCTCTCCTAGTCGCTCCGAGGCCGTTGCCGTACCCCGCTCTAAAACCAACTCCCCCTGCGCCGCGGTCGATAGCACGGACGCATGCGCAAGTCGTGCCACCTTGGAGGTGGCAGCGGAAGCAGCAGCATCATTGCCATCACCACCTTCTTTTTCACTTTCCGCTTCAGCTGTCGCGGTGGGTTCTTTATGCTCGTCGGACTCTGACGTCGTGGCACATGCCTCGTTCAGGAGTTCAACCGCTTCCTCGACGCTCTGCTCGTCCCCCCGCGCGATGTTAAATGCGGCCACTGCTGCCAATCCCTGTTTTCGGTGTGAACACGATTTCATGTTTCAGGAGCAGGACCAGAACAATATCACAGGACTGTAAACGTCCTCCGATCAACGCTCGATTTCAATGGCGCTGTCATGACCGAACCACAAACCGAGTGTCTACAAAGTACGGTCATTGGAGTAAGGCTTGGTAGGTGATGTCACAGAGTCTTCTCAGTCATCGAGCGATGCCAAAGCAACCCAATCGTCATCGCGCTTCTAGGTCATGCTCTACATCCTGAAGAAATGGTTGTTGGTTTGCCAAGACACGCTGTACATTCTGGCCCTTCACACCTTGCCCTGGTCGGCGGAAGTGGAGCCAAGCCTAGCCGCCCTTAGCAAGCTCGTTTCCGCGTCATCTTCCTCTCCACTGAGCACTTGGATCACTCCTAGCTGCCGCAAGGCCTGGCGCAGGTAGACGAAGGCGACTCGACGCCACGGGACGGATACGGAATTATTTTTCTGGAGAAACACATACACGGGTGTAATCCATCATGCACAGGAACCTCTCAGCGAAAACGAGACCTGACAACCTGGCCAGATGACGTGCTAATGCCCGGCACGCACTTGTTAACGTAACAATTCTATCGATTCGTTAGCAAGCATACAAACGATTTCTTCGGTGATCACCTGCCCCAAGGCGTCCGTATCCGGTGTGTTGTCTTCGTCCTGCTGGCACAGATCCACAGCACGGGAAGAGGTCTCAACCGCTACGGGTATCTTCCCCTGGAACAGCTGCGGAGCGTCCAACAAATTTGCAAGTCCACATTAGCAAGGCGTCAGAATCAACACCAACATGTGCGCAATTCTTCCACCGCGATTCTAAAGGCCACGTGCCGACAGACGTGCTGCCGTGCTCGGAGTAGGTTGCTTTGCTACAGGATTCTTGGAACAAGTACGCACCTGAGCCTTGGACAGTAGGAGCAGCTCCGTCGGGAACTGTTTCCGAGCATTAGATTCTCCCTTTCGGAGGATCGCTTCCGCCGCCCCGAATCGCTGGTCGTCGTACAAAACTTGCGCCAGCCTAGAGCACGTACGGGTTGCAACAGAGCCAACAGGATGAAGAAGCTACCGCAGCACACCCAAGACATGTTAGAGGATTTACATTAACGGCGGCATGTGACAGTAAGGCTGTCGGCTCACGTTGAATAGGCTGGCTGTGTAATGGTGGTATGTTGTAGACCTACCTCTACCAATAGAATGATGTCGAGTATAGCCAAAAAGACACCCAAGCGGAGTGCCCTACCTATGTACAGCGGCTCGGGTGAGCGCGCAATCCTCTCCCATAGACCCGGAGCATATTTCGACAGCCCGCTCCAAGAGAGACGCTGCTTCCGTACGACGGCCTAGAGCAGCCAGATCTACCGCTGTGCTAACTTCGTGCAGGGACTCGAGTTGCGCATTTGCCTCCGCCGCCTGATCCGAGGATGAAGACAAAAGGCGGCGCATTCGAGGTATTGCCCGCTGCGAGAGAAGCATGCGGTGGATGCGTGGCAGGGTGGGGAGGTGATTGATCAGCCGTGCTCGTAGTGAAAGAGAGAGTTGTGGTTACAGATAGCGAAGGGGGCTTTGGGTCATATGACAACATGGTCGCCATTTCAGTACGCAGCGGCGTAGCGCGAATGCTGGCGGTATGCGTGTATAATATCTCCGATGTCCGTACCGAATCTCCTGTAAAGTAAACACGAACACGATGTTGATATGTGACACACGATCAGAGAGCACACAGCAGGGTAGAAGAGAAGCAGAACTACTGCCGTATGTACGCAGACGTCTCTCTAGGTCGTAGTGTCCCAGTGCCACCTCCACTCTCAAGTAAACCACCCACAATAGTCTTACCCGCGAGAGCCCAGCTCGTCTCGCACAGAGGAATACCATATTGCTTCTTGATATAGTGACGAAGCACCTGCGGAACGGATAGAAGAGGCTGTGGGACACAGGGGATGACATAGATGCCGATAGCCAAGAGACCCGAGGTTACATGGGTATGCAATCAGTTATCAATATGCTGTTTGGCAGTGGTGTGGGTGCAAAAATACTTTCAGCCACCAGTTACCCACCAAGGAGCTCGGTCTCGTCTACAATGCTGGACGCTGGACACGGAACGTGTGTGCCGTGTGCTGTGCGCTGGTGCTGGTTGCTGTGCAGCGTGCAGCGTGTGCCGTACAGTAGGCCGTGGGCGCGTAAGGCGCCTTTTGTCCGGCCTTGGTATTTCGCAGTTCGCGGTAGCTGATTGGTGGAAAGTGGAAAAGGGAACTATGGATTTGGTTCGGATCGGCACGCCTCTCGAACCTGGAAACCCCCCACCGCTCTGTTTCACCTTGCTGCCTTGCTCGTTGCTCCGTGCTACCCGATCGTCGTCGTGACCTCGCCACTCCGCCCTCCGCCCTTCCGCTGCTCACACCTGAACCACCCAATCGCCTCTCTGTGCTCGTACTTGCTCTGACCACACACGTTTACAAGATGGTCTTCTACTTTACGTCAAGTGGTGAGAGGGGTCAGGGACAGAGTCAACTTCTCCGGCAAAGGCCGCAAGACACACCGCATGCTCTGCTCTGCGTATGTACGCATAGCTGTCTGGCTGGGGTCGGTCTAGGTGTATGTACAACAGCCAAGTCATGCCGTTTCATGCTTTGATACAACTGATACAACTGAGCTACTACGCCTGACCTCGATGCCTAAAAGGCGCCGAGAGCTACTGCAACTACAGCAGCAGAAGACATCACTTCAGCACGTTCCCACAGGTGCCACAGGTGCCACAGGTGCCCGACGCATGGGAATGCCAGCAGGTTTTACCAGCCAGTAGGAAAGGTCGTAAACAGACTACATATCCATTTGGTCGGGTAGGATGCCTCACATACGAATGAGGTGGTTCTATCGGCCTACTACTGACTACTGACGGAAGACATCCTTCACGTCAGCTCCCTGTCGGATCGCCCGTTCGAACAGGAAGGCCCAGTCCTGGGCCGTCGTTCACCGTTCACTCTACTCAAACATGATATTCCTTGTTTCGAACGCGGCCCAGGAACAATCCATTCTACAATACCACACGCGGGAAGTGCCGAAGAGTCTACCGCGCTGTTGTTGTTGTTGGCTGTACGTGTAGTACCGCCGAGGTTGATATGTTGATCATGTTCTGGGGATTCGACAACGAGCTTTCGAGTGCTAGACTAATGGGAAATCGATGCCGCAGAGCTTCGTTTCGAATGTACATGTACACAACCTGTACGCTAAGACACCTTTCATGGCCCACGGTACATATGTAGCGATGATGCTTGTCACCGAGAGTGGTTCAGAATAGTCAGTCCGAAATTTCCAAATTTCCATGCTTCAAAGTGCTTCGTCGTTCTCCTTCTGCTTTCCCAGACGGGCATATGCTGTACATGGGCAAAGACAAGTACGAGAACGAGGACTTGATCCGGTACGGTTTTCCAGAAGATGTCTGGTTTCACGTCGACAACTTGAGCTCCGCCCACGTCTACCTCCGAATGAATCGGGGAGAGAAGGTTCGGACGATAGAGGGGGGGTGCGCCAACGGCCTTTGAAGAGCGACCGCGAGTAGCACAAGGACCAGAGGCGGATAAATCGGAGTACGGGATTTTTCGGGGTGGGACAGATCAGCCCGGTGCCTAACTGTCTGTAGAAACAGGTAGGGTCGACGGTCGACGCAAGTAGGCTTGCCCAACATGTGTGATGGACCAGGGTGATGGACCTCGCGTGGATTTGAGTTGCTGTTGCGAGAGAGGGGTGACACTGTTCCCTCCTTCTTCCCTATTTTCGTCCGCGTTCTTTGTGCAGCTAAAAGAGCTCGATCCTGCGCTGCTTGTGGAATGCTGCACTCTCGTCAAGGTAAGCGAGTTTTCTTCTATCGCCGGGCTTGCATGGGTACGTCTTCATACCGTAAATCGCTCCCAACCACCCTTTTTCGTGTCGTACGGCGAACCATATGCATGCCTCCTCGAGCCATATGCATGCCTCCTCGAGCCATTGCATGCCTCCTCTTATTACTGCTCTGATATACCGCGAGCGCGACGGTATCAGGCTATGTTACATTCTATTCAGGTATTTTTTCTTGGGTCCACGCATGTGGGGTAAGCAATAAGGGGGTCGGATCGGTTAACACGTGCATCTGAAACTAGTATCGAAGACGGCTATCGCGTGTTGTTTTTCAGGCAAACTCGATCGAAGGGTGCAAGCGGAAGGAAGTCAACGTTGTCTACACTCGGTGGCAAAACCTTGAGAAAAAGGCTAGCTATGAGGCGGGACAGGTGCGTGAACCAGCACGTGCTTTCGACATGGAACTGTGTTGTCACTCGGTACGAGCGACGAACACTAAGAATTCGCCAACGTGTTTCCAAGAGATGCGGGTCGTGAGAATGAACGCGTAGCAGAGATCTATTGGAGGCGTGCTGCTTCACGTACGCTCGATCCTTGATTTGTTCAGCTGTGGTTTTCGTGGGTGGAGAATACCAACCTTTCCTGTCGGAGGGTGCAGTAAAGCTCTCGAAGGTAGAATAGCGCGAGAAACGTTGTCGAAACGACACGCACTCCGTCTCGTGCTGTGTGTGACCAAATCAGCGAACTCCATTCATCTGCATCAGCACAAAAAGCTCATTTGACAGGACTCGATAGGAATGTGAGGTATTTAAATCAGGCAGGCCCTTTTCCTTCGGTACGAAGTATTTATTACACTGTCACCTTGATGCCTGTCTTTTGGCGGCGCTCAGGTGGGCTACAAGGACGAGAGTAGGGTGTTCAAGTGTCGGGTGGAGAAGACCAACGCTATCGTTAACGCTCTGAACCGCACCAAGCGCGAGGAGCATCCGAATCTCGCCGAGTTGCAGGAAGAACGGGCGAAGGAACACCGCAGGTACGAATTGTGAAGGCCATCTATGCAGCAATCACATTCCTGAACAAGAATTGGCCGAACGCAGCTCATGTGAAGGCTGGGAACGAGCGAGAGATCATGTGGAAACCACCAACTTTGTTTATTTGGAATAAAGGGCGAGCATGGTGTGACGGTGGGAACGTGGATACCTAGTACCAGCCCTGACGTGGCGGAGGTACTTAGGCACAGGGACAGTGAGGCGGGGGCTCTTAGCGCCAGCGCCGAATACGCAGTTTTAAATGGCATCCGATTTGTGTTTCGTTGTGTTATGCCCGATGACGCGCGTGGCAATGACGCTGTATCGATCCTACGAATTTGACCATCTTCTTTGGACGCGTGCGGCCATGCACCTGCCCGGCCTTTCCCTCGCGGCAAAAAATTTCGACAGAGAGCAAAAAGCCTTGAGAAAGAAGAAAGAACTCGAAGAGAAGAATGCTCGGAAGCAGAAGGTGAGTCAATCATATTCGACGCAACAATTTTTGTTTTATTCCTACTCACTGGTGAAGGGGATCTCGCTCCTGTTCCTGTTGTATGCTGATATGTTGCTCTCCGGTCGATGCCAAAGGACGAGAACATTCTCGAGGCACACCATAGAAGGCAGCGTTGATTCTCTCAAGTGAAAGATTGCTGACCGACACTGTTAACCAGAGTTGGCGCCGATTGGCTGCCTTTCCGCCACCTTGTGAACAGACTGCTCACCTTTCCCGTATGTCCTCTTACCCGTCGCCATTGCCTTTTCCCGTATGTACCGTGCGCCGTATCCCGTGTGCGCACTGTCTCGTCGTATTCCACGGCTCGGGTGGCGAACGGACCGTGTTCACAATACATGATGCCCGTGGTGAAATAATGGCAGGAGGAAGAGAAACGACTGCGATCATACGACACGTTGTTTGAGGAGTCTAAGATGGCGTCCAACGCCGATGTTGCTGCCACAGAAGACGCGTCCGCTTCAATCGCTTTCGAGGACGACTTCATGGTGAGACAACCTGGGCGGATGGCGTGATAGATACCGAAGTCGAAAGATGGATTGGCCGGCAGCTAAACCATATGCATAGATTATGGAACAAGCACTCCATGGTGCGTCCTGAACTTCCTCCAAGCGTGAAACCATATCCCCGGGTGTTCACCTGCGCCCTTTGCGTATTTTGGACAGGGCTTGTTTTTCAAACGAGAAATATTTCTCGGGCTCATACAAATGCCCCGGGCGTTTCCCACGTGTGAGGCGCGTAGAGACATCCGTCATTCACGGCGTTTCTGTATACCTTGATCGGTATTTTGCTGATGACTTGTTTGTGCGGTACACGTGGGTGCTCTTTTAAGGTTCACATATTGGTAGTGAAAACTATGACACCAGTTGTTTCACCCAGACAGCACGCCGACGAACTTGGAGAATATCACCTCGACCAACACGTCAACGGCGTGGAATTCGCATGTAGACATATTGGTGGATTTCTATTTTTTGAGACTGGCGATCTCGCCATGGTGTTGTCGTACTGCAAGCAACTACAAATGTTTCGTTTGCAGATAATTGTTGTTTCTTTCTTCTGTGACCACGAAATCCGTTCCTGACCGGGTGGGGTAGTACGGGTATCGGATAGGGATCAGAAAAAGGCTATATACTGAGCCAAGAACAACAACGGTGTGCGCAACGTTTGTTTGAGACTTGTCGGCTAACCTATTGATCTTTTACGACCGTGGCCCGCTTGCCTCCTCGTGTCCCGCTGTCCGGTGCTCTGCTGTTTGTGGCTATAACGATGAGAAGTAAACCACTCAGTATACTGTTCTCGGAGTGGCTTAAAACCCACTCAGGGTGGAGCTTTAGCAGTATGTATTTGGCGATGTTTCTACAGGCTTAGTTTGTTGTGCGTGCTGCAGAAGAAGCACCCGCACCGACAGCCTGCAGCAGTCCACTGGGATCCTCTGGACGGTGTCGTGGCGATATTTATCACGGATCGATCACTGGCGGATTTTGTGTCGCGCTTTGACGGAGTGCTGTCGGCTTCTATATGTGAAGAAGATCGTTCACGAGCTCACCCCCCGGTACTTTATGCCCTTGCCAAGTGGCAGGTCGACAAGAAGAGGAAGAATTCATTTGTGTAGGGATGTTGTACGTTGATAGTCTTGCTCGTTGTGGTCCGTAAAATTTAGTTGATTTTGGTGTTTTCCTCCTCGTGGCACCCAGTTCAAATGAGAAGAAGTTCGTATAGCGAGGTATTATGATGGCAGGTTTCTCGACGCTGTTTTTTGTCAGTCCGACATGATCTGCACAGCCTTGCAAGTATCATCTGCGGATCCAAGGCGATTCGGTGGCGAACGAGATGGTGCTTATCACCTTGGAATTGTTGTGATTCCACCGGTCCACAAAACCCACACCAAATGAAGCCACTACCATGCGGTACGCTGTTCTTCTTTCAAACATGAACCAGGTTGCAGAGAACGGATTCAGCGGTCTGTGCAGGGGACGATGGCAACGGCCAGAAGTGTGCAGTATTTCGATTTCCCACAGGTCGGTCGGGTGTCTGTACACACACGACCGTCTCGGACGAGTGGCCATCTGTTTCGAAGCACCATTCCGGTGTTTCTTCTGAAAACCAACGAGTTTTCGTCGCTGATAAAACCGCCCGTCCTCTTCGAAAAGCTGCCGAAATTTCGCTCGGCTCGACACCATCCTCACGTCTTAACACTACAGGCTTGCATACTTATCCATCGACGTAGTCTACACAAAAGAGTCTCCACAAAAGAGCAATTGACGAAAATGCTTTCCACCGTGCGCCAGAAACAACCTCGAACTACAAGCACCCCCTGCACGAAGGCTAAGACGGAGCATCGAGTGCCGGTCGCTGTATTATTCACGCGTAGAGACCTAGAGCAGCTGCCTGCTGATCTATTGCAAGACCCCCTTGGTGAGGTGAGGCTGAGCTTCGTAGTTGACCACCATCCCCACCGCCGTCGTCGTCTACCCCAATGGCGTCGTGCCTCGTCCAGGATCGCTGCAAAACCCGCGTCCCGCTATTGTCTCTGCTTCTAGACTTTCCTGCTGCTGTCGAAGGCTTCCTTCCCACGACTTGTCGGGAGCTCCGACGACGTTGGTTGTTCGTGAGTGCAGACGTGCTCTGCTTTGCAAGAGTACACAGCAATTATTCCAGCCATGCGCGCGGGCGTTTCACGTAGCGTGATTTTGGGTGGCGGAACATTCCGGACGATAAGGAAGGAGGGGTATCAGCAGGGATGCGATGTTCAGGCGTGTTCGGCGGAGCCGACACAGAGCGCACGGAGCAGTAATTAGACTACGTAGTGTACTACTGTCTATCGTATACCAGGCATTTCATCTGTGGTCGAGCCATCTAGACTTTAGGCAAAAGGAAATGCGAAAGCAGCGCTCTACGGCAGCATTTCAAGACATGGGTGAAGTTGACTACTCTCGGAGACAAACCATACCCGAATCGGTTGATACGTAAAAGGTGAGTACTTACCATGCTCTTCTTCAAAGCCCCGCGTTTTGTGGTAGATAATTTCCGTCTAGGTTCCGTATCAAATCGAATACCCCCAGTTCGATCTTCGTCTCCTGTTGATGCCGTGCCTCCAGATTTCCCAGCCTCTAGCCCTTCTCCCACCCTCCTTGCCGCCCCTCCTTCCTGTTCTTTGTTGGCGTTTCGCCCGCCACCCTTTCGCTGATAAATGGGCGTTGGCGTTGTCAAAGCGAGGAGCAAACGGGATGGGAGTCTGTGGGGGAGATTGGTCTCGTGTCACGCGTATGGTCAGGGCACGAACCACTGACGACACAAATCTGTCAAGCATCTCCACGCCCGGAGAAGGGTCACGCACGCGGGGTCATAGGTTCAATGTCACCTGTCCTTCGCTCGACATCCGACCGTTTACTATAATAGTGTTTTCTTTGTTTGCCTGAAACCCTGTAGCCTACGAATATGTTTCGGTGTCTTGTTCAACGAAGTCATCGTATACGTATGCTGGAGGGGGAGAGATGAGAGAGACAGAATCAAAGAATCTAATGTATTGGGGTCTCGTGACACACAAACGATTGTATCACGAGGTTTAACTTTGGTTGAGGCTCGACACAAGCTTTTGCCTATCTATTCAGGTATTTAGGTTATTGCGCGTCCACGCAAGACCGCATCAGGCGCACCTGTTCCATCTTCAGCACTAGCTCCTCGTCGTTGGTGGCCATGTATTCCTCTGGCACGTCCATCTTGGCGAACTGCATTGCCTTGGGGTCGTCTCCGTCTTCTTCATCCCCATACCCATCCTTCAAACAACACGGCACGAAACGGTTCGGATCTTGTTGAGTGATACACATGTAGCACGGCAAAGAGGCACCCGATTCTGTAGTTCCTGTCCATAGGATACTCCGACCGAGACACGGTAAACGGATAATGGTTTTCTGCCAAAACACGATTAAGGTAAGGAAAACACACGCGTCAAACTTGACTCTCGAGTCAGAGATCATGCACATGACAAGATATAACAACGGCGACCACCAACACGACGTGAGCACACAGTGTTACCTTGAGATCATGTGGGGGCGCTGGCACGGAGAGACCTTGTCCTTCAATAGCTGGTGGTTCGGGAGGAGGAGGCAGATCCCCACCACCACCGCTGGTTCTCTTGACGAAGGTCACCGTCTGGACCTTACAGGTGTTAGATATGTTGAGGGTGCCAACAATAACAACGCTCACGGTATTAGAAACGAAGGTACCGCACGGATAACGCACTTAAACGAAGCAGGTAAAACGAGTGAAAAACGCGTAGTGGTACTCCTTCACCCGCGGGACCCTTTGCGAGTATCATTGTCGTGTTCTTGAGGTTACCGGGGTAGAGTGGCTTCGACAGGCTTGTCGACGGGACACTACTCTTTGGCTCCTGGGCACACCATACCAGCATCACCACGGCGGGTCTCATGAAAACGAAGGTGAGCGCATCAGGCGGTTCATAGATACCTCGTAAGATGTATTCTCGACAGATGAGCCCCCTCCGGGACCGTGACCCCCGATGCACGGGGTAGAGATGCCTGGGGCGACGTACGCGCTCCTCATGACATCATCATCCGTGTCCATGTCTCCAGGGCCTTCAAGCGAGCGGGAAATGAGGGCAGCTACCGTACCCTCTTCGATACCCATCCCCACATCTCGAGTGAGGTTCCCAAGGGCGTCGCTCGCCACCTAGAGCATGACAGCATTGGCGACGATTGGTCTCGGGTGATACACCTCGCCATTTAGGTTTATTATTTCTTGTTTTCAATCTGGTCAGAATACAAATTTAAAGTCTGTCTCATTAAGTTCCGAGAAGAACCCATTGGTTGCATGCCAATTTCTTCGGAAATGGATCGTTTGGAGTTTTTTCGAGATCCCCGATAATCAAAACAGAAAATGCTATTTGTGCTTATAGAAGGAAAACATGTCCCAACTGCACCCGAATAGCCGCTGACCTTGCACGAAAGGAAAGGCTTGCAGCACAAACATTGTCACTCAAACCGTACACGTGGTAATTTTACACGGTAAATTGGCCACCTTCTTCTGCAGTTCGTTTCCACGTTTGCTCAGGTTCGCCAAAAATTGGGTGACCTTGCCCCCTTCTTTCAGACGTTCTCGGGCCAATGGAGGGGCTCGCGACATGAGGAACAACGCACAAACGGCGTTCGTGATAACCTCTGGTCTCTGACTGGCCCAGCCATCTAGTCCTCCCGCCATCATATGTGTCAGCTCCGCGCCCCTGATGTTCACAAGTTAGAGGGGACCAAAATAGAAGGGTACCAGGTGTAAGCGTGCGCAATATTTGCGTCAGTGGTTGTTCCACCCGCTAGTCCATAAGAAGGGTTTTACATCCATGCTTGAGACGACGGTGATGCGAGCTACTGCCCGTTCAATGTAACTGGATCATACTTGTTCCCGCCAGTCGGATCTCGCTTCTGCGCGTTGGGCAACGACTGCGTTGGTGATTATGCCGCCGTTCCCTCAACCTTTTTCAAACAGTGTTCATTTCTCACTCACCCTTGTGCAATGACCTCCTCACGATTGCTCGGATCGTTGCTGAGGAGGGCCATAGTCGCCATCACCAGGTCTCGGGCGGGTCTAGGTGCAATTATTTTGAGACAGAAGTAGGCGTAAGCATTGTTAGGTCCTTGCCGGCCCCTGATTCCTCAAGGTAGTCGACTCAGCTGGAAGTCGACAACAAGCGCGATTCGACCCCCTCGGTGGTTGAATGTCAACCGCCAGATAGGGTGTCATCCGCCCACGTACCCAACTCGCGAAACGCCACCGATACCTCGGGATTCTATCTCAAGACAAGTTCCTATGCTGGAATGGTCTTCGCGTTCCTACCCTAGCACTCACTTAACCTCAGCGAGAGTTGCAAGAGCAGGCAATACACCGCCTTCCCCAACCAAGTCCCTCTGCAGCTCGGCGCACGAAGCCGCTGATTCGGCCAAGTTGAACACAACGACAGCGCAATCATAGAGTGTCGCCTCGCGTGAATCAGCGGGCGCCTCCGCCGAGCCGGAGGCCTCCACCAATCGCCGAACGAGGGCACCGGCGCCCTGTGAGGCCACCAGTTGAGCTATTCTGGGAGCATCCTCTTCGATTGTTGCTATCCGCTCTGCGTTGTTTCCCGAGTGCATGATGCAAAACAACGGCAAAGTGGACGAGAGACTTAACAAAAAGTACATTGGTAGTTTGACTAGTTTCGATTCTACCCGTCGGGCTATTGACCCTTTGATGATTTGCTGGTCATCTATACACAGGCAAGGCGCACCGTTGCGTGCCACCGTTAGCCGCATTGTTACCCACCTTCTGCGTCGTCCCCGTCACCACTGGCACCCATCCTGGTCCCATCCTTGTGCTTTTCTTTGTCTTTGTCCTTCGCGGGTGTCTCCACCCGAGTTGGCACTTGAGTAAGGCACCGCAGAGCTGCCGCTACAAGGGGCAAAACCGATTCCGTTGCGCCGACCTCCATCACCTTGGACAAAGCTCGTATCGTTCCTGCTTCCACCATGCATCCTGTTGCAAAGGTCGCATTTTGACGCAACACCAGTGTTGCCGGAGAAGTGAGCGGGTGAGAGGAGTATGACGACGATTCAGGACATTCATATGCTCTGTGCATTCCCATCATACCTGAGCGTTGATAACTGAGTAGGTTGGGATTAAAGGCGGGCTGATCACCTGGCATTTTAGACGCAGTCTAACGCACTTCGGCGTCGAAAGGTGTACAGAGAAGGTTTTAGTATCGTGCTTGCTGCTTGATCGTAACGCGGTACTGCCTTGGTTTCCATAGTCTCACCTGCAGATCTTTGGTCGGTGGCAAGGTAGTACAGAGCTCTCGTGCACATTTCTAGCTGGTCTTTTTGGCACTCGTCCCCCTGCGTGTGTTCATGATGGGAAGGCCTGCTTCAGTTTGCTTCACGGAGGACTCTTAACACTATTGAGGAAGAGGTCCACGCGCGCTTCTTGCAAAGATAACCGAAAGGTGTCAATGACCTCTGCAGCTACTAGCTGTTGGGAAATGGCTATCTTGCACTGGGGTGCGTGGCGGCGCTGAGCACAGCGTTGACTTTCGATATCTACCAACAAAGGCAAAGAGTGACACGATAAACACTGATACACCACCATCGGAGGTACTCCCGGTGCCAGGAACTCGTGGTTGCACCGGACTTCACGTTCGTTCACCTCTGAGTAGTCTTCGATGATTCCTACCAATGCTCGGGCCACCCCTACTCCAGTCAGCGCCCTCCTCGAGTCGTCATGCCACGCCAACACCCCCAGTGTCCGTGCGCACGTGCATCGAGCTTCGAAATTCGGCGAGCGTGACAGGTAGACCACGGTAGGCAGGGCAGTGCTAGTGACCTCCATCCGACACTTGCTGTTGCCGGACATGAGCAGGAAGGCCATTGCGATGGATGCCTAGGTAATCGTGCAGCGCGAGAGCGAGGTGAAAGGAAGGATTAGTTCGGAAGTTCGGAGTGAACCACAAAAACCGCAACTTCGACCTTGCGGCGCATGAACAAGGATGGCGACACAGTTTTTTTCCGACCGTTTGTACCCCTCGGAGGGATGGCAACGAATGTGCGGTGAGTCGCTTTCGTGTGATCTGCTGAATAAGCCCGCTCAACACACGAGAGAATGATTACGTCCACCGATCTCAAAGCTGTGTGTTGTTTAAAGATCAAGGACAATAAATCGTTACATGTACTACGAAGTTGACAAGAGAAACACAACCTTGTTCTGCTAATGGCTCTCACTTCGATCTCAGATACGCCAAGCTTGGCCAGTTGTCTCAGACAAGGTACTGCACCCGCCCCGACTGCCGATAGTTGGGAGTCCGGACAGCTCACAAGATTGCAAACAGCCTGGACGAGGAAGGAATAGCGTTAGAGCGGTTAGTGGGCTTGTTGTTCATATACTCAGTCGACACCGGTCGTCTCGGATGTTCATCTTCTACAGGAATTCACAAGTACGTGCAAGGAGAATGTTTCTTTGCTCAGGCTCGTCCCTGCTCATTCAACAAATGAAGCAGTTCGTGGTTCTGAAACCTAGCGCCCACTCTCTCTTTGCCGGAGAAAGTCGCTACATCGTACACGACATCGTTCACCTTTCCGCAGATGACTTGAGTCCCCTGGTCAGTAGAGCGCAGGAGGCCGAAGAGAGACACCAGGGCTGACTTGCGCTGGACGAACTTGGCCCTCCCTCTCGGGTCTGCTGATAGGAGAGCGAACACCGTGGCGCACGCTCGCATGCTGTCCTCGTCGTCCAACTTGCTAAGGTTAGTGGTCGCCGGAACTATTCCCTCCTGCCCATGCGAAACCGACGGCATCGTGTGCATGGAGGTATTTGGACTCGTCATTTGGGCACGCACGCTCCAGCGTTGTCGGCACTTCACCACACCACCAGCGTTACGTTGGCGAAACACGGCGAGTTCGCGACACTCAACTGGATTTGACGGCCAGCAAGGGTAAAGCGTGCAGCTGTAACTAGTATGGCGTTTATTTCGTGACATCACCTCTATGAGAGCTGGCAGGGTGTCCTCGGCGACGAGATTGAGCAAGGCCTTGGCACATATCTGCTTCGTCTCGAGGCTCACGCTCCGGACCTGGGTTGGGTAGCGGGTGCGAGGCGGGTGTGTCATTTCGAAACGTAGTATAGGTCGATCACCTCGTGACCTGTACAGGGGTCTACGGGGGCACACCTCTTTGGCTAACCGCATTTGGCCTCTTTGTCGATTGATTGAATCAAACTTCATCGATTGAACCAAACTTTGAACAGATGACGTTTCAATTTTGTAATACCAATGTGTTTTGGCAGATGCGACAGTACGACTTGTCTCACCAGCGCTATCATCATGAGTGCCGCCACTCCTCCTCCCTCGACGAGCGACTTCTCGCTGCCATGGTGACACGCAAGGTTGCATAGTGCTCTTGCACAGTAGAGCTGAGTCTTCTCCTTGTAACTTGTGCTCAGCTCGGACAAGACTCGAACCACGCCGCCTTCGACCTACGACGGGTTTGAAACGCCAACATCAAGACCGAGCCGAAACAACGTTTCAACAGTTACGAAGCTGGTGCCACACATACCGACAGCCACGAGTGTGACGGCCATGAACCACTGTTGTAGGTGTAATTGTCGAGCGTGATCGTGGTCAGTCAGGAATGCTCCCCCCTCCACGGAAACCAGGTCAACGAAAGAACACAACTCGAATAGAGACCAACACACCGGTTGGTGCCCCCTAACAATACGATGACTGCTCTTAACGGAAGCCAGCGAACGCGAGTGACTGTCATTATCAAATTGTTTAGTATTTTCTTCTCTCTCACCATCTGCCCCCGGATGGTGTATTCGCAGCTGAGGTTGGCAAAGGCGACGACGCATCTCAGCTTGGTGGCCTCGTCGTCCATGGAAGCTAGCTGGATCAATGCTGGCAGTGCACCACAATTGCAAAGCTGCTCTCGGCATTCTTCCTGCCGGTCGTTCGTTGGTCACACCAAAAGAAAGTTGGAAGACGAAATGTGATTAGGGTGGTCGCTATCGTATTCTTTGGGTGGCGCTTCAGGATGCAACCCCACGCTCAGATCGAAGTACATTTTACGCGTAGATGAATGAGGCTCACATCGGCCCTACGATGATTTCCTGGACTACCGAACGTCCTTGACTTTACCGAATTCCAGAGAAAAATGAAATCAAATTTGTCTTTCGAAATCACAACACGCGTGCGTCTGGTTTACTACCGAAATCTCTCGGTTGTTGTCTGGAGAACTCCAGTGGACATATGCATAAGTACGCGCACAAAATCACGCAGCGACGGTCTCACCTTACTCGAGCGACGGTCTCACCTTACTCGACAAGGTGGAGAGCACTGCGCAGCAAGATTGTTTGGTCACCATGTCTCCGTCCTTAGCCCCGGCCAGCATGTGCGGAATAGCTCCCTCATTGATGATCAGTACGCAGTTGCGCACGTCCTGCGCTACCAGGCACAACGCCGCACAGCAGTACTGCCACGAGCCGGGAATTCAGGCAAAATGGATGGACATGGACAAGGCAGGATGAGTGCGGTTCAAAGGTATGAAGATTGGCTCCCGTTTTTGAATCGGCGTTTGTCGTGAAGTCTACATGGTCTATAGTTCGTGCATACCTGAAACCCTACCAATGTGACTATTGACGGCAGAGCACCTTGCTACTTTCCCACCTTGACGCACTGGATATCCCCGGTCTTGAGAAGGTGGATGATGCTTGGTATCACCCCTTCCTGGTGAAGGGTGCATGCGCAGGAACCAATGGGCGTGTGAGACACAAGACCAAAACAGGTAGGTACTATCGTTTGACGCTGCCTGTTGCTTACAACGTTACCGACAGGCACTGACCTCCACCATTCTGGCGATGTTGGCAGGGGTGCAAGCGAGGTTACAGAGGGCGGCCGCACACCGCCGTTGCAACGCGACTTCGACCCCTTCTCCTGCCGACAACGCTATGATGGCGGGTACTGCGCCAGCCTGCACGATACGTTCCTGGTTTTTCGGGGGTCAGCAGGGAGGGCGAGGGGAGACAGTACGCCGTTGTTGGCGCCTTGTCGTGGGATATTCAGACTTGAGCAAACAAGCGTTCGTTGATCGGTTTCCAAGTGTTTGTTGCCTCTTTACTCTTGAATAATCTTCCCGTCCAATGTCGCAGTCCACCAAAATAAGCGTCGTTTGCGAGATCTGGGGAAGCACAACCCCAGCTTCTGGCATGTAACCAAAAGCAAAATCTAAGCGGGATGGACGAACCCTTGCAAAAGACTCATGTCGTCAATCCTAATGTTTCGCATGACATGATGTACCTGAACAGCTGATCCACAGCTGAAGTTGAAAAGCACAAGGGCACACGCCTCCCTCACGCTGTGGTTGGTGTGTGCCGTGAGGGCAAGGATGGAGGCAAGAGCCCCCTGTTGCAGGATGGGAGCGTGGTTTTCTTCCCTCATGACGATGCTATCGCACGCGCGGATATTCGGGACGGTATGAAAGGGAGAGAGGCAAGAGAGGTGACCAAAATTCAAGTCTCGGTCTTACCTGTGGTCTGATTAACGTATTCTCGAAACCGTTGGATGGTCAATGTCGTGGGTTAAAATCCCGACGAAACATTGGTGCTTGAGAAAAAGGTTGAACGATGTATTAAGCTTCGATAATGGTTTTGACCAAGACGATTGCAAATGTTCTTCTAACGCAAAAATCGAAGGAACGCACTGCAGAGGGACTACCGTGCGTGACCCGGGGTTGTACCATAACTCCTCAGAAGAGAACCAAAGACCGCACGGTAGGCAGGTACCTCAAAACGACGGTAGTATAATACTAATGGCGAAAAGGAAACGAAAACGCAAGCTCGAGGGACCCACCAACCCCATACCTACCCTCGCGCCAACTCGGTCACTCTTAACCTCGCACATGAAACCGAACTGCCTTCAAACTTTGGTTCAGTCTGATCATTACAAAACGAGCGCAGCGCATGCTTACCTGCACAACGTCATGAGTGCGTGGTATTGTGTCGGCACGTCCTCGCTCGAACGTAGGAGGGTTACGATGGCGGGGATGCACCCCTCCTCTGCGATAGTTACCTGTGCAGGTTATCGTCCGAAACATGTGGAGATGGGCAATCACTTCTTGCAGGTGACGGGCTCGAAAAAGAACACATGGGCGAACTTACTCGACCCCACGGCGCGGCAGAAAAACCTCGTCTGCGTGCTCCCGCATCTAAATACGATACCGGGAAGTACTGAAAACCAGCGGTGTGTACTGGCAATCCCATGAACACAAGCTACTTTGGTTCAGCTTCCGTTCACCACGCGTACTGCTATAGTTGACCACTGCACAGAAGGCATCATCTGGCTGCATGAATCACACTCATCGAAACAAGGTTTCGATGAGTCGTTCATATCGAAGACAAGAGAAGAAGATACCAGCGCATGTCCACGGACACGGTCTTACCTTGTACTCGGCGTTTTTGCTGAGCGTGTCAAGAGTAAGAGCACACGGCAGGCTCGTCATTGGCATGGCCGCGCAGGACATGCCGATGTTGCAGAGGGCGCTGGAGGAGGAAAGGTCCGGCACGGACAGGAAATAAGAGGGGAACGGCCACGGTGGGTGAAAAAAGATACCGGGGGTAGGCGTATCCGAGGCGATAGAAGTGCAAAGTCGAGGCAGTAAGTTAGACGAGGGGGGATGAAAGGCGTAGTGGAAGCGGTTGAAACGCTTGGCTGGAAGTAAGTACCAAACGGTGTGTTCTAGACGAGTTGTGTTCTAGAAATCACACTGGGAGGCGAATTGCATGCACGAGAAATGCAGCAGTGGAATCTGATCCGTTCTTTCGGCTTTTACCATGCTCCCTATACCACATATCGTGTGCTCTCTACCTGGCGGCACCCTCTTGGATCATGCGCGCATGACCCTGCTCCTCCATCCCCAGTCTGACCAGCGTGCAGGCGACGTAGTGAAGCGTCGTCAGGTCCTCGTCGCTGCTCAGCCCGTACAGCACAGGGACGCTTCCCTTCGACACCAAATTTGTTCGCTCCTGACGCCCAACGTGACCAATCAGACGAAGAGCGAGACAAGGAAGAAGGGTAGAGCAGAATCACGATCGTGTCGCCGGGCGGAAGGGGAGGGGGACTTGAGCGTAGAATCGCTAAAAATGTATGCGAGCATGAACACCTTGAAGGGCCTTTGGGGCAAGTAAAAAAACGATTGTTGCACAATAATTCGCCTGACGTATACGGTAGGGCACGAATCTCCGAGTATGCGGCAGATTACCTCCCCAGTATCACGTGCCCGCGTGAACAGAATGGTTAATTGGTGTTTCCATCCCTCGCTTGTGTGTGTGCTTCATTTTTCGGTGTGTGATGCTTTGTGCAGGTCTGTGTTGTCAAGCACCAAAGATGTTTGCTGCGGCAAATGTGGCCAGTGCTGCACCAGACGCGCCGTGGCCAGCTCTCTACACCCACCTGTTTGCTGGCTGCGAGGGAGTGCAACGCGATAGCGCAGATGCGACGGGTTTTCGTCGATGCTCCTCGAGCGATGCTCCCGATCTGAGACGTACAGTGCGAGATCCAATGGTGCGAACGGAAACAAGAGGCGAAATTGGCTAAGACCGCATCATTATCCAAAACAGACCCGATCCGTTTCCTAGGTCGAATCACAACGGTGACAACAGTGTTACATTCGAGTGTCCTGGGAACAGCCAATAGTTGTAGAGCACATATAACTATCACGCCTGAAACGCTAGGTAGGGTAGAAACACTGTGAAACGAAGAAGCAATGACCTAGTATTCTAAAACCGTCCAACCCCCGTACGGTAATTTTGGATGAAACGTGTGCCTCACCGTAGAAACGGCTCCCTCCTCGATCAACCGAGCATGCATTGAAGGGAGGTCAGCTAGGTTGCAGAACGCGCTAGCGCAGGATTGCTTCACCTGAAAGTTGGTTTGACGAAACACAAAGGACAAGGAGCAGGCCGTCACTCCGCCATCAGCGCAAGGAATATGACTCCGAAGAGCGGAGTGCGGTGGCCTTAACAAAAATATGAATGCACGAGCTGCTGCCCCTGGATTTAATGCTTCCAGAAGTCACCTCTTAGGCTACGCTCAAGTCTTGCTGTGTAATGTTCTACACGCCTGGATCTTAACATGATGTCGATCGAACCACTGACCGCCTGGTGGCTTTGGAACGACCTCGCCAATAACAAAAGGCTCTACCTCAAACGGGTGCAAAAGCATGCCACCGCCCCGGTGCAAGCTTATGACTTACCTCTAACGATGAAGAGCTCGATATCCCGACTAGGGCCTTGAGCACGCGCTCAATATGGTTGTACGGTTCGGACACACAGGTCAGGTTGAAAAGGCCCTGTGCGTGCAGATGTACCGCGGTCAGAGTACGCACTTGTGCCATGTCGGGACCGACAGCGGATGATAGGCGTTGATCAATCTGTAGCGGACTCTCTAGTGTTTTCCGCTTGACAGGAGAGTGCGTAGCACTGAGCGTGCACACCTCGTTTGCCACGCACTTTTTGAAAGAGTGGTTGACAACTGTTCCTTGCACGCGTTGATATGGCTGGGTATGTACTGCAGTATACCAGCGACAATTACCTCCGTCATGTTTGTGCCCGGACCTGCACCTATCATGCTTTTCGCTCTCTCACCGTGGCACATAGCCGACCAAAGTCTTCCTGTTCGCTCATGATCATCACCATCGACAGCACCAAACCGTCTTCGACCATTTTGGCCTGACCGTGCACACGTCCGGAGCGAACAGGGTTAACGAGTTCAAGTTGTGAGTGTCGGGTGTTTTGGGATCTAGCTAAGTTCGCCACTCGAGACCGACGACGCGCAGCACATCCCCCACCCTGATGTGTACGTCCTGCCATGCAATCTCTGGTCGTGATCCATGACAAGACGCTTCCATTACTGCACGCACGAACACTTCAGGTGCTACATCTTCAAAGCACTCTTTGTAGGTGTAGGTTGCCTCGTGGCGAGATCGCTGCAGATTTGCTTGAGGACGTATGACATTGTATCCAGTCAAGTTTTGACGTCTCCTACCTCCTGGCCATTGATGCAAGTAATGTTGACCAGTGCCACCATGCAGTTGCTCTGGACTACTTCTTTTCGGCACTGAGACGCCATGTCTGCGATCACAGGGACCTGATTCTCGTATATCGACACGGAAGGGGGTCGCACGACCGGGTGGGATCAGGTCAGGAGGGTGGAGAGGAACAGGATGATGAAAGGCATTGGAGTAGTTTCCTCGTGAAAGGTGTGCTGCTACCTTGTTTCAACGCGTGTTTTCAGATGGTAACCTACGCAAGCGCCGACACCAAGTATTTTCAAGTCTTGCCATAGGTTCGCAGCGAGACCGTTTGGTATACGGCATACTTCCGTGCCGGAAGCTCAATGTAGCATCCTCATGTAATGATTAACCTTGTTGTTTCATATCGGTCTTGCACACGGCGGGCGGTGTAATGTTCGCTCACCCCTCCTCGAGCGACGAGTTTCTCTCTCAAGATTGGCGTTGCAGCAAACTGCTTGAGGATGGCGCTGCAGTAGCCCCGCAGTATGAGGTGGTCCGTCTTGCACAATCTCAAGACAGCTTCGACCGCACCTTCCTGTAATTCAGGACAACAGAAGGACCGCACACGGACAGGTTCGGAGTAATGCCCGTATACAGAAAGAACTTCGACGAACGAAAACCGCTGACGTCGTCGGGAAGCCCCCATTGCTGACAGCTGGTAAAATTAACAACCACACACCCTCTGAACGCGGAGGCTATACCCGGTCATGTATGTTGGATGAGCTACATGTGAAAATAATGTCAATTTCCACACCTTGGCAAGCCTCTGCGCGTTATCTCTGTGGGTAGACCATGCAAGGAGGGTGCTGGCGCATTGGATCTTTGCCTCAAGCTCTCGCTGAGATGGAATTTGTTCGTTCGTCGGCTGGGGGTCTCCCTCTCCGCTAGACACAGAGTCGCCCGCAACGCCTGGATGGTGTGTATGGCCGGGTAGCCGAAGGGAAAATAGGGCCAAGAAAGAAGAGTTCACGAGGGTAGAGGAATGTCGATACAGAGCTGTCGGAAAGAAACACTCAAAACACAGTGGCGTGACCCGATAGGAATCATTAGAACCGCGACATCGGACCACCCGATAATACCGCAACTCTCTGCGTCATCATACCGGTAGTTCCTCCAATCCTGATCTACAAGCAGTATTAAAGATCGCACTAACCAAGGTTAAAGTTGCATGTGACTCACGTTCAGAGTCCAGTCCATGATCGGTGTCATTGCTCCCATCAGTGCCAGTGCTCCGCTTCGGCCCGTCTCCAGACCGCTTGCTAAGCCGAGACTGACCCTCCTTCCCTCCCACAGGCATGCGTGACATGTACACCATACTGGGTGATACACACAATCGCCGGTCAGTATATCGTGGGGAAGACACGAGATGAGATAATTAAGAGGAGAACTTGATTACCCTTATTGTGATGAGAATACTAACAAGAGGTCGGATATTTGGTGAAACGGAGATAATTTTTCAAGAACCTAACCCCACCATCGAGTGTATCCATGTGAAAGAAACTAACATGCGAGAAATGGATGGTGCCTTCCACAGCCAAACTTCAGCGGACCAACAGCATGGGTCTACTACTGTCGTACCTGACGGAACGGTTTCTTCTACCTCCAGGAGGACATCGGAATTCGCCACCCGAGTGGAACATCCCGAACCTCATAATTGCACCCACTCACCCTTCCATATACGTTCCTCCCGTACCGAAGAGGTCGCCCTGATATGGCATCTTAAACACATCCCCAGGGACACTTGCAGCCTCAAACACCGGGCCTAGAGAAGCAAGACCTGTCATTTCCGCGCTGACGAGAGGAGCCTCCTGCACAAATGATCGATCCCGTCGAGAACGTACTCGATAGTCAGCCGAGGTTCCTAGCAAGAAATTTATTCAATGGCGCCCTATGGGAGACCGGATGGAACACTGGGTGTGAGCGCTTAACGCCGGTCCAACTTAACAGGTGAGTCTGCAGAAGCGTAGGTGCTGTTACTGCAGGACTGCTGAGCCCTTTGCTCAGTCTAGCGATTCGGTTGTTGTGAACATCTGCACACGCGATATTTCTAGTTGGTTACTACACCCAAGCAGGGTAGAGAAATGTAGACAGTAGCACCATTATCGTTCCGGCCAAACCAGACACGAGCAACGTCCAAGTTGCTTTCCTCGACGACTGTAGGCACCTCGTCTCGCGCTGTGTGGGCCCCGGGGCCTACCAAAGCTGAAGAACTTCCTTTCAGGCCTCGCTGTCCACCTCGGACTCCAGCGCTGGTCCCCGTGCCTCCGACCAGCTGTGTTCCGAGTTTTGAACCTTTCGCGTTCCCCACCTGCCTCTTGCTGCGCTGGGCCTTAGCGTTCTTTTTCCGCTTGTTCTTTTTTTTCCCCGATCGTTCCATCTGCAATGTTGCGGTAACAGTCAGCTACGCGTGAATACTTGGGGCAACGCACCGGCGCATGAAGAGTGTCCTTGTGTAGAAAGCGTGGTTCTCGAAATGATCGTTTCAAGGACATCTGTACCCTAGTACGGTACTACTACAGTCTCACCGCAAACTTCTCGTGTACCAGCGATAGATGTGCCAAGTGATGTAATCCATCGTATTGTAGTGCGACAAAACTCCGCCATTGGCGTCTATTCGCTACGGAGAAAGATGTGGATAGGTTCGATTGCCTTGGCATACTATGCATCAACTTCTTTTAGCGACTCCACCCCACGCACCTTTGAGCATTCGTCGTGGGAATCCACGCCATGATCTCCGTCTTCTTCTTCCTCCTCATCTGACGACGCGCGGTCGTTACCCCCGCCCATCATAATCTGAGCGTCAACGCGACAATAGCCTAACTTAGTTGCTTTACACGTGGGACTCGAAAGTGTTAACGAAGCAATACCGTACGCTGCACGACCCTTTTCGTTGAATGACCTAAGCAACCCGTTGTTCATACTGGTGATGCGTAGCCAACCCTTGACTGAACCCAAAGAGTTCCCAGTTAATCAGCGTACGGCGTGAGCGTGGATACGTCCATGTTCACCAATACAAGTAGTGGACGTAATCATCACGAGAGCCCACGCGAATCACTAGCACCATGCCCTGCATTCCCGCTATGACTGTGCAGTGCATCAGGCGTTCTCATGCTAAAACGCACACCTGCCACCGCTCTCTTTGCACGTCCATGACCAGCTTCGAAGGAAGGGACCTCGGAACCATTAAGTACTTCTTGTGAAGATTTCGGGTAGGTGGCGTTGCTTGAGAATCAACCGACATGAGGATCCCCTTAGCGCTGTTGAGCGTGCGGAGTACCTCCTTACTGAGCTTTGGACGAGGGGTGGTATCGCCATCGTTCCGATAGAACCCTCCACCTGCGGCCTTCGGTTGTTGCTGTGACGATAGTTCAGAGGCATGGAGCGTACCCAGGACAGGCATCGGTGTTGCTTCGCACTACGGACAAATCGTGTTTCATTGGCTGATTCGTTCGCACAATGGGATGACTGAGTCAAAAGCCGACATATAAAACGATTGGAACATAATTGATGACTCGCCCAACTTGTCACGGTCTACAGTAAATACTTTGGTAATATACACCTCATGATAATGTGTTCTGGGGAAAGTCACCGTTGGAGAGTTCATCCGTGTACCCCCCCTATAAGCCACGGTTTGGGGTGCGACGTGTAAAATACCTTCAACGTCAACATCAGTTCTTCTGCGACTCAACCTGTCGAGAGGTTTCTTGTGGCCGGTCATCTAAATACGACGGATAAGGTCTTCAATACCCGCGAGGTCAAGACAAAATGGAGAGTGCTCTGCGGCTGCACTGCAAGTTACCAGTCAGTGGCTAGCATTTCAAATTACTAAATTATTGCTATTAGACTATCTAAATGTCCGACGTCGTCCCACCTTTGTTTTGCCCTTCCCTCCCTGAGTCTGGCCGCCACCTCCTGTTCCTTTCCCTTCTTCGAGAAAGTCAGTAAGATTTATCCCCGCGAGCTCAGCCACCCTCTCCCTCAGATCATCTACAGCAGGATTCCCGCTTTCCTGCGAAGACCCCGACCGGCATGCATAAGGAGAGCATGCCTATAGTGAAGCAATCAGCGGCGTAATTGACATGAAGTGCCGATCAGCTGCCACAGAACATCGGACAGGGTGGGTCTTGGACGATCACGCTTTGCGAAAAACTCGCATGACACATTCGCTGACAATTTTGGATAAACCGACTCCGGAGGAACGGGTTCGTGTTCTTATTGCATGTGTACGACCAAACATTCGGGGGTTAGTCTTTCGGCGAAATGTTCGAAGCAGGACTGTCAGACGACACGCACGAGTTGGTATTTAGTCATTGGAGACAGAGGACTAGCACACGACGCAAACCTGTCGAATTTTCCATGGGAGTTTTTTCTTGTCCCATAGCCACAACTCTCCCAGATTCATAGTCCTCGTGCTAGTCTTGGGGCCGACCAGAAATGCTCCCCCTGAGCGAATTACGTGGGAGGGGTCCGCCCTTGCGCCCTTGCGCCACCTCAACGACGTCGCCAAGACGAGCAGCAACATGGAGAGACCAAGAGAGGTAAGAAACATGACGGTTTCGAAAAAAAAAAATGTGCGGCGAGTTTCGTAATGCAAGGGTAGGGGGGCCTACCGCTGCTGTACACAGCAGTGAGTATTACAGAGAGAGCAATCATAGCGAGAAAGCAAAAAGAAAGAGACGCCGGTGCAGGCCCACCATCTCATCGAGTCGGTTCTGGGAACACGGGATATATCGGAATGGAGTCGAGATCGCTGGTGGAGATATGCGGGACTTACAGGACCAAATGTGGTGAGTATGTACTTCTGTACATGCTTGAACGCAGTTGCGTAGCAAACCCTCCCGAGGTCTGTGTCTTGCATGGTATGCATGTCTAATCGTGAGTGCCGCTGGCACGCTGGCACCCTTGTTCCTGAAGATAATGTTATACGGCACACACTTCTGCGCCAGTTGAATGAAAGAGGCTCAAAGGTGAAGGCATATTCTAGTACTGTGCTGTGTAGATGTCCAACCCACACACAGCAGCAGCAGCAGCTTGCACAGCAGCAACAGCTTGGGCGTCTCAAACGCTGAGGCCTTGGCTGGTGCCGCGAACGCGAGCGGCCCGGCGTTCGCAAACGTTGGTGGCATGAGGGTGCCCAGAGTGTCTAGCCAGATAACATAGTATTGATGGTACTTCGATGGTACTTCATGTTTCCGCTCGTGCCCTTTCGCTCCGTCCGAAATCATGGCGGGTGTTCCGCCTGCGGGTGAACCGCCTATGGCGGCGTCGCCAGGGTACTGCAAGCCCGACACCAAGACATCAGTATCGTACGGTCTGCTGGCGAAGAGACTGACGTGTGCTGACTACCAAGAGCTGATCGACCGGGGTTGGCGACGGTCAGGAACTTTTGTTTACAAGGTAATGTGCAGACAAGACAATATTTAAACGGAATGAGTTTGGGACGAGACACGAGGCAGAAGCAGTACTCTCCGATTTTTTTTTTTTTGTTCATCACTTTTCATGCATAATCGCGCTCAACAACATATCTGCTGGGTATTTACAACAGCAGTAGGAGCTCCGTGGTCACACAGAAGGGTTCTCCCCTTGAGGCCCCCTGCCTACCCCTGCGGTGCTTGCCTTCGCTTTTTGACGCGAGAGGAGTGACCTTCGGAAATTGATATTGCTTGTTACACTTGTTTCTCTTGACATTCTCGGTGGACGTGTACAAGAGCGGTCCATTTTGTCGTACAGGCATTCATAGATGCAATACACTATGTACGTAGAAACGTGAGCGTTTGTCTTGGAAAATAAGGCTGACTTTGCAACGAAGCAGCTTACGCTTGGAAGCTTAGACTGAAATTTGTGCCGGAGGCACAAGGTTCGAGAAAGAAACGCATAAAACAGGGTGTGTGAAGGTCCCATTCCGAACTCTGTTGCATGTAGCTTAGCACATTTCCTAGGAGAGCTGCTGCTGCTGCCGTGCAGGCTGAGGCTGATGGAACACCTTTTCAATGTTGAGGTCGAAGGTGCCAGGCACTCCCAGTTAACCCCGTCTTTGGTGCTGTGAGCTGCAGTAGCTGCATACTGAATAGGAAGGTGTGTCCATGGCGTATGGAAAACCACAGAATTTCTCGTGCGGCGTGTACATCATTTTGCATAGGTTGGTCGCAACGTGTGGCCCCGCTCTGGGGCGTGTGCCTTCTTCGCTGTCCGCGTTCGTTTAATGATTAAGCCTTTTGTTGTGCTGCACCCATCGGCTCTGTGATGCTTATTGTGCAAAGCACGGTTTGGTCACCGCCCGGAAATTCCCGGTGGGGTGACTCGGTTTCTTGTCGTGTAGAAGTACGGCGCCAATTGCTTGGTAAACCGGAGGACCTTTTCGCATGAGAAGGTCCCGATTCGTCTACAAGCAGAAACTGCTGTATAAGTAGCTGGCGGTGTTGTCGGACCGTCTAGGAGGTTAGGTAATTCGGCGGTTTTGTGTGCACTGCACTCCTGTTGTGCTAGTATGTGCGAACGGAAGGCATGTCCACCAAAATGTATTGTTACCCCCGGCAAGTCCGACCATTCTATGTACTTACAACTTTTGGAGCACCGCGGAAGATGCGGAGCATTGCATGACATGTTTGTTCCCTTTTATTAGGCCTACCTCCCGCTGTCGGGTACAAGCATGCATCTACAATTTACAATCGATCAGTGCAACTGCCGGAGAGATCCAATACCCACGACTGTGACTCTAAGCAGCTTCTTTTGTCTTTTCCCCACAACTCCACAAAACGTTGTGTCTGCGGGCGACAAATCTCAGCCCGTGATGCACGAGACTTGCTGTCCGCAGTACACCATCCGCCTGGACGTGACCCGTTTCAAGCACACCAAGGGGCAACGGCACGTGCTAAACCGCTTGAGGCGGTACCTTGACGGCGACAAGGACGCTGGTAGTAGCACGGATGCCGCCAACGGCCAAGGGGACGCGGGGGGCGGCAGCAACAGCAGCAACGGTGCTACTAACGGCAGAAAGAAGAAACGGAACCTGCCTCAGGAGGCGCAACGCGGGAAGGGTGTTTCTGAAAACGGTGATGCTCGGCGAGAAAACTCAGAAAGGCTTGGCGCGCTGAGTGAGCACATAGCGGTGGCTGCGCTCGCTGCAATGGAGAGTGGAGCGGTATCTGGGCTAGGTTTCGAGCCGGAATTGCGATCGGAAGTGTTGGGTTGGTCTCAGGTGAGCAGGGGGGGATTGCACATATTGTTATACCGGCAACTCGGTGATAGCCCCCCCTGGTAGGTGTGTGTCGCTACTCTTGATGGTACGTTCTTGAGGTCATACGTGCCGGAGTGTTGAGTTGTACTTCTAGATCATGACGGTCGGGCGTGCAAGACATGTGTGTTACAGACGGTGGATGTCCTGTTGTTTTTGTTCTGCTTGAGGTGACTTGGTGATCACCCATCTGGTGCCAATCGAATGGCGAGGTGTGTTGTTGTCTTTGCGCCCCAGGTAGCACACAAAGCTTGGCATGTGCCCGTCGGTTTAGTCCTCCAGAGTAATCAAGGCTCGTCCCGACGTAGCAGAGTCGCTCTCCGATTGTCGCTGCTGTCGTCTCTACCGGTATCACACCCCTACCGGTGTTTTTCTGTCGGGTGCTGTTCTTCCGATGTTGGACGTTTGTCATCACCGCCTGGGCACAGGTGAGGCCCATTCGAATCAAGAGCGTGCTGGCATCTGGTGGAGGGTTTTGCAGCACCGTAGCACTTCGCATCGCCTCCGCTGCACGCAAGCAAGGCTGGCACGGAGTCGGGGGGGGCGGTGGGGCGGTCGCTATCGCTGAGGCTACAGCGGAGAAGCTGAGAGTAGCAGCAAGCGGGGGTGATAAGGGGCTAGTGCTTTCGGCAATAGCTGTGGCACCCAACGGGTTTATCAACTTCGAAGCGGGTTTTGCGCCGTCCTGCACTTCGGTGAGCAGCAACTCGACCCTGTGTCCTCGTGTGGTGCATGTCACCCCCCCAGCAGATCAAAGATTGCAGCACGCTCATCATTCGCTATCCTTTCCAACCTGCGTCGTGTTTTGAAGCACCTTTTGGTTCACGCCCAACCCTCACCGCCGTCTGTAGTGTTTTGACTTCGTTACATGTACCTACGTTTCGTCTGTTTCGTCCCTTTCTTTTTCTGTTTAAGCCACCGCAGTATTCTCGGTATCAATAGCCCACCCGTGTTGAGGGCATCGGGGACGGTGTCTCTCAATTTAGTGTTTCTACCACGTTGTGACG